GCTTGTTTGTTTCCACTCTGGAGGGGCCTGTGTTCTCTCTTGAACACTTTCCCCGCCACTCTCTTTCTAAATAAATTTTATTTTATTTATTTATTTTGCTTCTTTTGGGGGGGGGTCACACCCCGCGATGCACAGGGTTTACTCCTGGCTCTTCACTCAGGAATCACTCCTGGCGGTGCTCGAGGGACCATATGGGATGCTGGGAATTGAACCCAGGTCTGCCGCGTGCAAGGCAAACGCCCTCCCCACGGCGCTATCGCTTCAGCCCCTCTAAATGAATTTTAATAAAAACTACCTTGCTTCACCAAATAAAATAAACCCAGAATCTTCACGGTATGGAAAATGATAGTTGTTTTGAAATAGTCTCAGAAGAAGCCCCGGATGGTGTCCCAGTCCTGGCTGCTCACACAGCCTTGGTGAATGGGGGCGTCCAGGCTGGGGCGTCCAGTGTCTGGGCCTGGACTGTCCACGGAAGTGGTACTGTCAGCTGCCCACGTCCATTCTCGGACACTGTGTGAAACCCCTAGTGGGGTCCCGCATACATCGTTCCTGGTGATGGGGGTGCAGTCTCTGCACGGCCCTCTCGTGAAGCACCCCACTGCTCCCCGGGGAGGGTGACCCCGCCATCCCCAGCCCTCTCCCTCCTGTGTGCTCTGCCTTCCCCTTGGGCTGTGTCCTGCGCTGTCCCCCATGCTGCTCTGACCATTGAGTCCCGTTCCTCTCTGCTGCTGGGATGGGGCGGAAGAGTTGGGGTACATGGGACGGGGCAGTGATTTGAGGGTGGAGGCCATCAATGCTGGGTCTGGGGGTGCCAATTCCATCCCTGGCCACTGCCCAGGGCTGAAGTGGGAGTCACAGTGCCAGACCTCTCCTGGGTGGGGCCTTGGGTGGCTCTGGGGACCGAGGGTGAGAAAGAGGCAGTGCCACCTCCTAGGCACCCCTCTGCGAGAGGGGCCAGGGCCGTGGGGAGGACAGGGGTATGGGGTGCAGGAAAGCAGCCAGGGGGAGCAGAGACCAGTTCTGAACGTAGGTTGGGGTGAAGCTGAACCCCGCCTGGGAGCACAGGTGGGTGAGAGGCCCCTATAGCCTCTGCAGACTGTGTTCCATTCATGGCACCGTGCTGTGCTGGGGTGGGGGGGTGGGGAGGGAACCCCTTCTGGGCTCCGTTGCCCCACCAGCCCTGCCTAGCCTCTCTGAAGGGCACGGTGGGGGCTCAGGGCTTACTCCTGGCTTTGCACTCAGGGCTCACTCCTGGCAGGGCTTGGGGGACCATATGGGTGCCTGGGATTGGCCTGGGGTCGGCTGTCTGCAAGGCAAGCACCTCACCCCTTGTACCTTCTGGCCACTGCCTGGAAATCACCTCCTTCCAAACACAGTTCGAAGAGCACATCCATTTGCTAAGGGAGATTTATAGACGCTTAGCAAATCAGCAAAACAGGGAACTGCTGACAGGGGGGAGCAGGAGCTGAAGGCTGCCCTTCAGGTGCGGGTTCGAGTTAGGGGAAGGGTGCAATCCTGTTTCTGACACCAGCACCATGGGCCGCAGCTGGTGCCCACCTGGAAGCTTAAATTCCAGTTAAAGCCTCTTTCTGGAGCAGGGGGGCGGGGAGTGGGCCTGTGACAACTGAGGGTGCCTTTAAGTGGGATTGAAGGTCCCTGGTCTCAGGATGGCTGTGGGGCCCCTTGTCCTCTAGTTTGATCTATTCCCATTTCCTTTTGGAGTGTCGCAGGCTGTCATCTGCCCCTAACAGTCTGGGAGGAGGCCTGCAAAGAGCTCCCTGGGGGATATTAAAAACAGAGTATGAGACTGTCAACCAAGAACAGAAACTGGGCCAGGAGGACTGGCCCACAGTTGGGAGCTTGCCACAAGTCAGGGAAGGGGGCTGTTAGGGCAGAGAAGGGACCACTAGGACTGTGATAGATGGAAATGATCACTCTGGACAAGAACTGACTGCTCAAAGTAGGTGATAACCTTTTAGTACCTGTACTGTAAACAGTAATGCCCAAAAGGGGAGAGAGAGAGAGGGAGAGAGAGAGGGGGGGAGAGAGAGAGAGAGAGAGAGAGAGAGAGAGAGAGAGAGAAGAGAGGAGAGAGGAAAGAGAGGAGAGATGAGATGAAAGAGTTGAGAAAGGAGAGATCAGAGAGAGAAAAAGAAAGATGAGAGAAATGGGTAAGAGATGAGAGAGAGAGAGAGATGAGAGAGAGGGGAGTGGAGACTTGGGATTGGGGTTGGAAGCAGGGAAACTGGGAACAGTTGATAGAAAATCATTGTATGATAGAACCCCACTCACGAACAGCTTTGTAACTGTTGGGGGTGGAAATGGGGAGCTCCCTGGGGTGACATGCCCTTGGCTGGGAGTCCAGGCCAGGAGAGGGGGAGAGGGGACTCACTGGGGTCACCTGGGGCATGAGCACCTGTCATCATCATCTCCCAGGACCTCCCCAGGGACCACCCCCAGGGGCCCAGCTTGCCTGTCCAGGAGGGAGGGCCTCACCAGCAGTCTGCCCCACCCCCAGGGCACCCCCCTCAGACTGGTTCCTGAGACTAGGCTATGGAGAGAGAGGTTGGGGTGACCCTGACCCCTGGGTCCATCTGAGATAAGTTCGCAGAGCTGGGGGAGCCCCGAGAAGTGTGATGCCTGCCCTCCCCCTACCCGGAGACAGTGGTTTAGAAAGAGGGGGGCAATCTGGGAGGAGGGAGGGGGTTTCCTGCTAGGGGAGGGACCTGCAAACCCACATGGTTCCCATGGTGCCTGGCCCAGATGTTTGCCTGCTCCCTGCGGCTGGGAGCTTAGGGTGGGTGTGTTGGGCTGGAGCAGTGAGGCTCTTGGCCAACGTGGGGAAGTGAGGCCTCTCCCGACTAGAGGGACCAGAGGGGCTTCCAGATGGATTGGTACCCCCTGCTTCCCTGCCGGATGCTGAGTGCTTGGGGGTCACGGGCAGTGCCACAGCCTGGGGCTGGCAGGAGTGCAAGGGGTGAGGGTTGAGTGGGGAGGGGCCTTTACAAGCACGCTCAGTTCCTGGGGCCAGGAGCGAGCTTAGAGGGCTGGAGCGCATGCCTGGTGTGCAGGAGGCCCAGATTTGAACCCCGAGCCCCACATGCCCATCCCAAGTACTGGGGGGCTGGGGCGGGGGTAGGGTGTGTGACTGCATGCTCTGCCCTGGCCATGCCTAGCCCGGTTGCTATTGGGCTTCGCTGGACCCAAAGCCAAGTTGATTGGCTGGGACTCTGCCAGGATTTCTCTGGCCGTGGTAGGGACACCCCCGGGAATTCTGGACTGGCTTAGCCCCCTACATTTGGTCGAGCCTGCCCCGACATCCCCGCACCTGCGTGTGGGGGGTACGGAGAGCACCCGAGCTCAGGGCTCTGGCCCGGCCAGGGTGATGCCCAAGTGGGCTTTGGCAGTGCCCGTGGGCCGTCCTGATGGGCACAGAGAGTGGGGCTCCGCGCCCGGTGCATCTGGGTGCTACCCCCCCACCTAGAATTCAGAACCCCGTAATCCCGGAGACCCCGGCCCTAGTGGCCTTGTGTGAACTCGGTGGTCCTGATCCTGTGTGTGGGGTTCTAGGACGCGCCCCTGCCAGAAGGTGACCTGGAGCTTGGGAACTGCAGGCCTGGCTGGTTTAACCCCGTCTGGCCTATGAGACTCTTTTTTTTTTTTTTTTAGCTTTTTGGGTCTCACCCAGCGATGCACAGGGGTTACTCCTACCTCTGCACTCAGGAATTACTCCTGGCGGAGCGCAGGGGACCATAGGGATGCTGGGAATCGAACCTGAGTCAGCCGCGTGCAAGGCAAACTCCCTCCCCGCTGTGCTATGGCTCCAGGCCTCTGTGAGACTCTTAGTCATGTGGCCATTCGCTGGTCAGCCACCCATGTGCAACCCCACTCCCCCGCCCATGGATGGCTTCTGGTCCTGGGGAATGGGGGTGGGGGTGGCCTGGGCTGCCCTCCTGCCCACCCCCAGGGACAGTTCACCAGCTCACTCGTTCCGCACTGGCGACCAGGCCTGCTGCTGCCCCAGCTCTCTGCTGGAGTTGGCAGCCTTTGGCCCCAGGAAACAGAGAGAGGGTTGACCATAACTAGGAGCACGGGACAATGAGTACCAGAACTTGTCCCCTCTTCTGTTAGAGCAGCTGGCCACATATCATGGTCACTTCCCACCGCTTTCCTGTCCCCAGACCCTGCTCACCCCATGGCCTGCTGTCCTTGCCCAGAGCCGGGCTGGGCCTTCTTCCTTCCGGCCTCTCAGCTCCTCTGCGCCTGCTGAGGCGGGCACGGCCCAGGCTGCCTGTGGATGTGGTTTGGGCACGGGGCACCGAGGGCAGCCCAAAGTGTCAGGGATGCAGGACAAGTTACAGTCTCTTGTCCTGCCCCCTTGTCCTTCTCCTTGGGCTTCCATGAAGCCCTTTTTGCTGAAGCTCTGAGCTTGCAGGACAGGGGGCAGCTCTTCACCCTGTCCCCATGGCACCTGGATACTGGCCCCGCTGCCCACACTCCTCACACCTCCCCTGCCCACCTACTGGTGGGTGGGGTTGGCTGAAAGGTCCACGTGAGTCCAGAAACCTGGAGTGTGTGGCTGCAGAAGCATCTCTCTAGAGCTCCAGAGACATCTCCTGTGACCTGCAGCTTTTTTTTTTCTGGCTGCTGTGTCCACTGTGCCCCGCAATCGGTCAGCACAGCTCCCAGGAGCCCCTCGGCAGTGCGCATGGAGCAGGTGGTTGAATCAGTGAATGAGTGGACAAGAGTGAATGGATGGATGGCAGAGCTGGTGCGCAGGCCTCCAGGGTCTGGGACTGGCCAGCACGGGGCAGCTCCCGCATCAGGCAGGAGGGAGACCAGCCATCCTGACCTGGGGGGGGGGAGGGCACCTATTTAGGGCAGGGGGCCCCCAGCATTCCGTCAGGATACAGGCCTCGGACCCAGGGCCTTGGGCAGTGGGGTTGGGTCGGGCCCCACCTGCATCAACTCACCTGTGTCCTCTCTCACCCTCGGCACAGATCCTGGCCAACGTCTTCCTATACCTGGGCGCCATCATCGCGGGCATCATGTCCTACTACATGGCTGACCGCAAGCACCGCAAGGCCTTCCTGGAGGCCCGCCAGTCGCTGGAGGTGAAGATGAACCTGGAGGAGCAGAGCCAGCAGCAGGTCAGTGGTCAGGCTGGCCAACGGCAGGGCAGGAGGGACGTGACGGGGGGAGGGCGCCCTGGGCCGCGTGGGGGTTCGGCCAGTGCAGGGGCTCCAGCTCCAGGTCTGATGTGATCACGGAGTCCTTCACTGCCTCACTGTCTTAGGGCTTCTCCTAACTTCTAGAAGCTTCTGCTGAAAGAAGGAAGGTGCGTTCTGAGCGATAGTACAGTAGGTATACAGTAGGGTGTTTGCGTTACATATGGCTGACCTGGGTTCGATCCACGGCATCGTGCATGGTCCTCTGAGCACCGCCAGGAGTAATTCCTGTAATTCCTGAGTGTAGAGCCAGGAGTAACCTCTGAGCATCAATGAGTGTCACTCCAAAAGAAAAAAAAAAAAGGAAGAAAGAAAGAAGAGGGGCCGGAGTAGTACAGCGGGTAGGTAGGGCATTTGCCTTGCATGTGGCCAACCAAAGTTCAATCCCCGGCATCCCATATGGTCCCCCAGCACCACCAAGAGTAATTCCTGAGTACAGAGCCAGGAGTAACCCCTGAGCATTGCAGGGTGTGACCCAAAAAGCAAAATATAAATAAAATTCCATCTTTTTTAAGAAAGAAAGAAAGAAAGTAAAAAGGAATAAAAAAAGAAAAAAGGCATTGCCCAGGAAGCCTGGAACCTCCCTCTGTTCCAACTAAAAAGCTTCTAGGCTTTTTCTCCATGGGTGTCCCTGGGAGTTTGGCCTCCACCTCCCTCTGTCCCCCTTTACTGTCCCATGACTGGTTCACAGCCGCTCTGGGCTCTGACTTGACCTTCCCCACCCCTGACACACACAGGGGGTCCTGCGGGGGATGTCCTCCCCACCCCGCCGCCTCAGGTGTGTCCCTTGTTCTTGGGGCTGCCTCCTCCTCTTCCTCCTCCCGAGTTAGCCAAAGCAGCATCAGGCCAGCCTGGTCCCCGGGGACCCCCCACCCCACTGCGTGCACGCTTCCATCTGGAGGCGTGCCCGCCATCCCCTCTGCCAGTGGCTGGCTGCCCTCCAGCCCAGCCTCCACCCCAGCTCACGTGACTCAGTCTTTTCAACAGCCTTGGGGCTGCAGCGACACAGAAGCATTTTCTCTAGAAATTCTGTGCTCCCCTACCCCTTAATCTGCGGGTTCCATCCTTGCGACAGCACCCCCCTCTTGGTGCTGGGGGCCTTGTCGTTGGCCATCAGTGCTGGGCTTGGCTCTGGGTTCATTGTAGTTGCTGTTTTCAGATACCCTGCCTCTCGGGTGAGTGGCACCAGCGTTTGGGGTGGGGTGGGGCTGCTCTGGAGTTCCCCACTGGCATGTTGGGGGGGGCAGTCTATGGGCAGCCTCCTGTCTCGGTGGTACTCTTTGAAGTCACTTAGCTTTCTCTCTATCCTGGGGAGGTTTTTCTCCTGCCCTGATGCAGCCTAGAATTTTCCGAGCTGGAGGTTGGACCCAGCTCCTTACAAGGCTTGGGTCAGAGGTGCAGCTCAGGGTACAGCCAACATTTTCAGCGTTTGAGGTCCTGGGTTTGATCTCTGGCAGCAAAATAACAAAACAAAACAAAGACACCTTTTAGGAGGGCCAGCTCCAGGCCCGCGCTGTGACCAGGCCAAGCTTTGCCTCCCACCACGGGTCCCATCTCCTTGGTCGTCTCCTGCAGTTTCTGGGGAGCTGGCTGTGAATGTAAGAATTCCCTGGGACCGGCTGCTGAGGACTTCATCTCAGTGCTGCATCGTGTCTTCTGCCCTTGGCCTTTGGCCTCTGCAGTGTGGAGGCTGCCCTGGGCTTCTCTGCCTTTTGTTTAAGAGCCAGGTAGGGTAGTTTTTAAGTGCTAGGTTTCATAGTTCTTTCCCATACAGTCTTGGTGCTATTTTCAGCATGGGTTGATGCTATCTAATGAGGTACAACCCGGGACATCTTCATCCTGTTGAATAGCGCCTGGTCAGGGGAGGCCCGGGGAACTGCCCACTTGGGGAAAGACTGCCTTAGAGTCTGGTTTTGGGGCTGGGGCCATAGTATAGTGGGTGGGGCGTTTGCCTTACACGTGGCCAACCCGGGTTTGATCGCCCCAGCACTGCCAGGAGTAATTCCCGAGTGCAGAGCCAGGAGTGACCCCTGAGCATCACTGGGTGTGACCCGAAAAGCAAACGATCACGATCATCCTGTTGTTCGTCGATTGCCTCGAGCAGGCACCAGTAATGTCTCCTTCGTCCCAGCCCTGAGATTTTTTAAAAAGTGCCATATTCAAGTCTCTTTCGGGCTTAGGAGAATGAGACCCATCATTGTTACTGGTATTTGGCATATTGGGTATGCCACGGGGAGTTTGCCAGACTCTGCCGTGTGGGCAGGTTACACTCGGTAGCCTGCCAGGTTGTCCAAAGCAAGAATGAGATAAGATGTCGGTACCTTCATGCATATGGAGAGTGATCTCAGCATGGTTGTGGCTGGTTCCGGAGGTCTTCGGCTGCCGGGGCTCTGCTTGAGGCGGGGAGGGCAACTCCCCCCCCCCAAAAAAAAGCAAAAAAGCAAAAAAATAAAAATAAAAAAATAAAAGTCTGGCTTCCTCATGTGGATATTAGCGGCATTGATACTCTAAAGTGGGAAAATTGGTACTCCAGAATGCTGGTACTGATACTCTAAGATAAAAACAGTGGGAGCATGAGTTCTCTAGCACTGATCCTCCAAAGTTGGGGTATTTATTCTCAAGGGCAAGAATTGGGGGGATACTTGTCTGTGGAGCCATCAGACCCGCTTTCTGTCCCCATTGCCACATGCTCCAGGGAGCCTGGGGCTTGGTCCTGGGGCTGCCCCTTGGGCACTGCAGCTCCTCTGCCTCGGCTGCCCGGGCTGCAGGGACAGCGCACACTGGCCCCGGGTGAGAGGTCCAAGTGGGGGGAATGGGGTGCAGGGAACTATGCCCAGGCCTTGCTGGGCACACAGAGGTGGGCCTGGAAAGTACTGTGTGGACGCTGGCCTGAAGGTAGTTAATTCCTTCATGTCTTTGGGCCTCAGTTCCCCTTAATGGAGATGATAAAACCTCAGGGCAGTTGGGACCAATATGTGTGTCTCTTTGGAAATGAGAAGAGCGGAAAAGCGCTGTTTGGTGAGTGGCTCCCCAGAAGGGCTCCAGAGTCCTCAGGGATGCAGAAACCAGGGCTCTCCTGGCGGTCTTCAACCGGCTTGAGCATGGGATGGAATTCGGGGCCCCCACATGCAAGGCATGTGCTCAGCCTTGGAGCTACCCCTGGTGCTCAGAAAAGCACCATAATGACCCCCTCAGCGTTGCACTCCCCTGCCCCACCCTGTAGCCCGTGTTTCAGTTTGCTCATATTGTTTCTGGTACCTGGCAGTGCTCAGGCCTTACTCTTGGCTCTGAGCTCCTGGCGGGCTCCAGGGACCATATGGGATTCAGGGAATCCAACCCAGGATGGCCTGGCGCAAGGCCAGCATCCTACTCGCCATACTATTGTTCTGACCCCTCCATTTCCATGTGTTTTTCTCAAGACATTTGTGACTGTCTCCTGACCTGCTTGGGTTTGGATGTTCTGTCAGTAGCCTGGAGAGGTTTGGGGGTCTGGTTATGCCAGCTCAGGAAATAATCGGAGAAAGTGTTTCTGCTTTCACCCCTGGAAGAGTTAGTTTGGAGGGTTGGAAACCCCTTAGCTGCTGACAGGAATTCACTAGTGAAGCCCCAGGGACTGGAGTTGTTTTACAAGCAGATTCAGTTTCCTCCAAACATAGAAGATACTGTTTCTTTTTGTCTGTGTTTAGAAAGTTTTTTTTTTTTTCAGAAACATTTCCTATTGTCAAATCTTCAAATTTTTATTGTTGAAGGGACACTGTTCTATATCACTACGAATACTGGTAATTTGTGTCTTTAGTTTTAATTTTTGAACTTAAAAATATTTTTTAATTTAAAAGTTTTTTAATTTGCTTCAGGATGCTGTTCAATACATTACTAATATTGGTAATTTGTACCTTAGTTTTAATTTTTCTTCATCTATCTAGTTAACTAACATTTCCCCTGAATTATCTTTTATTTTTTGTATGTCTCTATAATTAATTTATGATTTTAGTTTAGTTGATTTTTTCTTTTGGGATTAATTTGATATTCTTTTTATCTTCTTGAAATGGGCCTTAAATAATATTCATCACTTCTTTTCAAAAGCATGCTTTTAAAGTTAAGTATCTTTCATTACATTATTTCTTTCATTACATTATTTTGGTTTTGTCCCACACCTTTTGATACACCTATTTTGTTAAAAATATTTTTAAATTTTCATTATGATATATTTGATCCATGGGATAAGAGTGTATTCATATTCATTTTCAATAATCTGGAATTTGTAATGATGCACATTATTACAGGGACCAGAGGACAATCATATTCTGTACAACTTTAGTTTGTTAAATTTTGTTGGAACTGCATTTTTAATCTTTCAGATGATCAGTTTTTAAATGGGGTGGGTGTGCGCATCTAGCAGTTCCTGAGCCCAGAACAAGCCCACAGGTGATGCTTGGGAGTCACCAGGACCACCCCAGTAAGTGCTCAGGGGTCCAGGAATGAGTTCGTGCCCTTGTGCATGTAGAAATCTGCTCTCCCACTCCTGCTCTGTCCCGTGCCCATGTGATCAGCTTTTTTTTTTTATGCGATCAACTTTGAACAGTGGTTTCTAAATGCCTATTTCGTGTGCTAGCAGAATGCTTTTCCAAACTGAGAACAACGTGTCAATGACACATTTTCCCTCCTCCAAATGAATACTTTCACCTCTTGGACTCGAATGTGAGAACCTGGCAGCACTCAGCTCCACCCCCACCACAAGCACTCTGGCTATTTTAATGTGTTTTAGCTAGACTCGTATTTTATGTTTGATAAGACATTATTATTAGAGTCTACCACGGTTGTCATCATCGACCTTTGCCCAGTTTGCATCTTCAGTTGCTCTCCTTCCTTCTTCATTTCTGGGCTTCTGTCTTGTTTCCTGTAGTGTTACTTTGCATGCCCAT